GAAATGTCCCTGACCCGTGCCCCAGGAAGGCAGCACACCTCTCTGCGGGTCGGGCCGGCATATTGGGCCTTCTGTTCCTTGCAGAAGGGATTCGCCTATGACAATCACCCTCCTGTCCTTGCGGGTAGAAGCAGTCTTGAGGGTTGGGGGTGACCGCTTCGCCTGAGGCAACCTCACAGGTGAACCTGTCACCACACTCTCACTCGTCCCCCCTTCGACTTCCAGGGCCTCAAACCTGTTACGCAGAGGCACCTGGGGAGCCGGGGATGGTCGGGATGGGGGATGCTCCCTCCGCCTAGCAGGTACCCGTTTCCACTCCTCCTCCCTTCTCAAATTGCTGTTGGGGGAAGAGAGGACAGGGGGCTCGCTGAAACGCTGTCAGCTGGCTGGTTCCCCTTTACCAGGTGTTTGTAAGGTGGCAGGGGCTGACGTGCTCCATGAGGAGCCTCGTCTGTGTGCCGAGAACCTGAGGTTGAGAGGGACTGACACCACCAGTCAATCTCCCTCTCACACTCTTTTATAGTCCTCAGCCTCTCCACTTCCTCCTTCAGGCTAATCACAAGGCTGAGCAAGTCATTCAATTGCTCATACCTTGTACAAGTGCTGCCTCCTTCGTGTGGCATTGCAAAGGCCAGGCTGTGGCACTCCTCACAGCCAGTGACCTGCACACTAGCATCTCGTGATGGTAACTCTGTCTGAGTCGCCACACACTTCATACCGTTGTTCTCCCCTCTATGCATGCACCAGACCTCAGTCTGGCTCTGGACCGTCTTCTTGGCTACTGTCTTTCTGCTGCGTGTGCTCGGGACCTCTGCATGGGTCTTCACAGTTTTTGTGTTTGAAGTCTTCTGCCAGGGTGCACCCATGGCAACCAGCAGGCTCACTAACTCAACAAGAAAGTCCCAAAGGGGTGCAAGTGATCAGCCCTGCCCTGCTGCCCCCTACCCTCACACTGTTGCCGGGTTCGCTAAGTGCCCTGGCACTTACCACCAATAGCAATAACAAGACTCCTTGCAGGGGAGTGCAGACAGGGGTAGCTTACAAAAGCACCACGTTAAGGCAGCCTGGGAGATAGCTGTACTACCCCCTCTGATGTGCCTCAGGTGGGCAGCAACACGTCGCTGCCCTCTCGAGGGCTTTTTGTAGCAGCGATCAAGGGCCGCTTCCGGTTTGCGCCCATTTAAATCTCCCGCCGTAGCCTTGGCAACGTCCGCGCTGCGTCAGCTGCTCTCGCGAGAGTAGCCAGACTGAGAGCGGCGTCCGCACGGTTGTCGCGGGAATCCTCGATGAGGAAAGCGATTCAATCCCCACGTACCTCGCTAAAAGTCGCGGCCGTTCTGCCAGAGACAGCTCCGAGCCGCTGCCACTCTGAGTCGTCTTTCTTGTATTTCTGCAGACTCTGCTAGGATCCTTCATTACAAAGACACAGTCTCAAAAGATAATACACAAAGCAGGTCTGATACCTTATTTCATGCATGATGTCTTTTTTTTTTTCGTCCCTGAAGATAAAATCATCCTCTTTCTTCACTTCTCAGATCTCACACAGAGACATTTTTAGCATCTATCACTATTAGTAAGCTATAAATGGGCAGATATGGGGAACAAAGTAGGTACCTCAGCAGGTTAGCATTCCCCTACAGCAGGGAAGGTGATGGAGCAGATTGTCTTGAGGGAGACCATGCGGCATGTGCGGGGTGACCGGGGAGGGGATCAGGCCCAGCCAGCTTGGGTTTGCGAAGGGCAGGTCCTGTTCGACCAACCTGATCTCCTTCTATGATCTAGTGACCCATCTGGTGGATGAGGGAAAGGCTGTTGCTGTGCTCTACCTAGACTTCAGCAAAGCCTTTGACACTGTCTGCCACAGCATTCTCCTGCAGAAGCTGGCAGCCCGAGGCTTGCATGGGTGCACTCTGGGCTGGATGAGGCGCTGGCTGGAGGGCCGAGCTCAGAGAGTGGTGGTGAATGGAGTTGAATCCAGCTGGCGACCGGTCGCGAGTGGTGTTCCCCAGGGGTCGGTGCTGGGCCTGTCCTCTTCAATATCTTGATTGATGACCTGGACGAGGGCATCGAGTGCAGCCTCAGTAAATTTGCAGATGACACCAAATGGGCTGGAAGTGTGGATCTGCCTGGGGGTAGCGAGGGATCCCTGCAGAGGGATCTGGACAGGCAGGAGAGCTGGGCTGAAGCCAATGGGATGAGTTTCAACAAGGCCAAATGCCGGGTCCTGCACTTGGGCCACAACAACCCCAGGCGACGCTACAGGCTTGGGGCGGTGTGGCTGGAGGACGGCGTAGAGGAAATGGACCTGGGGGTATTGATGGATGCTGGGCTCAACATGAGCCCACAGTGTGCCCAGGTGGCCAAGAAGGCCAATGGCAGCCTGGCTTGCATCAGAAACAGCGCTGCAAGCAGGAGCAGAGAGGTGATTGTTCCCCTGTATTCAGCACTGGTGAGGCCGCACCTCGAGTGCTGTGTCCAGTTTTGGGCCCCTCACTGCAAGAAAGACATTGAGGCCCTGGAATGCATTCAGAGGAGGGCAACAAAGCTGGTGAGGGGTCTGGAGCACAGGGCTGATGAGGAGAGGCTGAAGGAGCTGGGAATGTTCAGCCTGGAGAAGAGGAGCTCAGGGGAGACCTCACTGCTCTCTATGACTGCCTGAAGGGAGGCTGCAGTGAGCTGGGGGTCGGCCTCTGCTCTCATTACTGATAGGAGCAGAGGGAATGGCTTCAAGCTGCGGCAGGGGAGATTCAGGCTGGACATCAGAAACAAAACAGGGATTTCTATGAAAATAAGCGCTATTTAAAGTTAAAAACAGGGATTTCCAGGAAAATAAGCGATGTTTTCATACCGCCCCTTATTTTTCCAAAATAATCCAATATCATCCTAAAATTTCCCCCCAAAACACCAAATAACCGTAAAAAATCCCGAATAATTCCAATTTGCCCCCAAACAGCCCCAGAGAACCCCCTCCAATTTCCCCCAAATAATCCCAAATCCCTCCAAATCGCTCCCCAAATGCTCCTAATTTTCCCAGAACAACCCCAAATCCCCTCAAAATTATCCAAAATAAACCCCAAATTCCTCCAAGTTGCCCCCAAAATCCCAAATTTTCCCCCAAATAATCCCAATTTCCCCCAAAGTTCCCCCCAAAATGCCCCAAATTTCCCCAAATTGCTCCCAACAATCCCCCAAATAATCCCAGATTTCCCTTGAATTTCCCCCAAAATCCCCAATTTTCCCCCAAATATTCCCAGATTCGCCCCAAAATTCCCCCCAAATTCCCATTTTTCCCTCTAATAATCCCAAGTTCCCCCAAATTTCCCCCAAATAATCCCCAAATTTCCCCTAAATAACCCAATTACCCCCAAAATTCCACCCAAAATTCCTCCCAAACCCCCAAATTCCTCCAAATTACCCTAAAAAAGCCTCGATTTTTCCCCCAAATAATCCCAGATTCACCCCAAAATTTCCCCCAAATAACCTCAAAAAAGCACCAAATAATCCCAGATAATCCCAAATTGCCCCAAATTGCCGCCAAAAAGCCGCAAATTTCCCCAAATAATCCCAAAAAATCCCAAATTGCCCCCCAAATCCCCAAAATTTCCCCAAATAATCCCCCAAATAATACCAAATTTCCCCCCAAAACCCCAAATTTCCCCCAAAATTCCCAGATTCACCCCAAAATTTTCCCCAAATGACCTCAGAGAAGCTCCAAATAAACCCAGATAATCCCAATTTCCCCCAAATTGCCCCTCAAAAGGCCCAAATTTCCCCCAAAGAATCCCAGATAATCCCAAATTTTCCTTGAACTGCCCACAAAAGTCCCAAATTTCCCTCCCAAAAACCCAAAATAATCCCAAAAAGGCCCCCAAGTAATCCCAAATCTCAGCCCAAAAAACAGCCCCAAACGTTTTGGGTTCATTTTTGTCATTTTCTTTGAAAATTGCAATTCTGTACAAACGGCGCTTTCACCCATTTTGGTGTTTTTTGCCTTATTTTCCTGAGGGGGGGAGGAATCCATAATCTGGATTGAGGGCCCATAATCCAGGTTGGGGTGTCCATTATATGGGTCATGGTGCCGATAATCTAGGGTATGAACCCATAATCCGGATTGAGGGGCCCCTAATCCCAGTTGGGGTGCCCATAATCCGAGGCTTGAGCCCATAATCTGAGTTGGGGTGCCCATAATCTGGGTTTGAGTCTATAATCAGGATCAGAGTGCCCATAATCAGAGTTGAGGCACCCATAATCTGGGTTGGGGTGACCATAATCCGGATTGAGATGCCCATAATCCGGGATGGGGTGCCCATAATCTGAGCCGGGGTGTCCATAATCCGAGCTGAGGTGCCCAAAATCCGGGGAGTGTAACCATAATCCAGGTTGGGGTGCCCATAATCTGCTTCAGGGTGTCCATAATCCAGACTGAGATGCCCATAATCTGGGTCAAGGAGACCATAATCCAGGGTGGGGTGTCCATAATCACGGTTAGGGTGCCCATAATATGGGATGTGAGCCCATAATCTGGATTGAACTGCCCATAATCCGCTCAGGGTGCCCTTAATCCAGGGTTTGAGCCCGTAATCTGAGTCAGGGTGACCACAATCTGGGTCAGGATGTCCATAATTCGAGTTGAGGTGCCCATATTCTGTGTAAGGGTGTCCATAATCCAGATTGAGATGTCCATAATCCGGGATGATATGCGTACATTCTGGGATGTCATCCCATAATCTGGGTTGAGGTGCCCATAATCCATTGTGTGAGCCCATAATCAGGACTGAGAGGCCCATAATACGGGTTGTGGAGCCCATAATTCGAGTTGAGGTGCCCATAATCTGGGATGTGAGCCCATAATCTGGGTCTTTGTGTCCATAATATGTATTGAGATGCCCGTAATCTGGGTCATGGTGTCCACAACCTGGGTCGAGGTGTCCTTAATCTGGGTCTTGGTGCCCATAATCTGGGGTGTGAGCCATTAATCCGGGGTGTGAGCCCATAATCCGGGTTGGGGTGTCCATAATCCGGATTGAGATGCCCATAATCCAGGTTGGGGTCCCCAAATTCTGAGGTGCGAGGCCTTACTCCGGTTTGGGGGGTCCATAATCCACGACGAGGCCCCCCTATGAGAGGTGCTCGGCCCTATGGGGGGGACAGAGAGCTGAGGAGAGGGATTATGGGACAATGGAGTTACGGGGTTATGGGACTATGGGGCTTGGGGGTTTATGGGATTATGGAGTTATGGGGTTATGGGATTATAGGATTATGGTATTATGGGGTTATGGAACAATGGTGTTACGGGGTTATGGGATTACGGGATTATTACTCTATGGGATTATGGGATTATAGGATTGTGGTATTATGGGGTTATGGGACAGTGGGATTATGGGACTATGTGGTTATAGGATTATGGGTTTATGGGATTACGGCACTATGGGGTTATGGGATTTTGGGGTAATGGCATTATGGGATTATCGGATTATAGGATTGTAATGTTACAGGGTTATGGGACAACGGAGTTAAGGCACTATGTGATTATGGGGTTATGGGACTATGGGGTTATTGAATTATGGGCTTATGGGATTATGGGACTATGGAGTTAGGGGATTATGGGGGTATGGGATTATAGGACTATGTGGTCATGGAATTATGGGGGTATGGGGTGATGGGATTATGGGACTTTGGGATTATGGGACTATGGGGTGATTGGATTATGGGGCTATGGGGTGATGGGATTATGAGACTTTGGGATTATGGGACTATGGGATGATGGGATTATGGGGTGAAGGGACTACGGGATTATGGGAATATGGGATTGTGGGGTGATGGGTTTATATGATTATGGGACATTGGGGTTATTGGCCTATGGGATTATGGGATAATGGGACAATGGCATTATGGGATTATAGGATTATAGGGTTATGGGATTATGGCATTATGGGATTATGGGGGGCCAGCACTCACTCAGGGGCGGCGTCGCAGCGGCTGCCGGAGCACTCCCGGCCTGGGGGGGGCGTCCCATGGTAATCTGGGGGGGGGGAATGGGGCATAATCCCTGCCTTAATCCCATAACCCCCCTAAACCCACATTGCCTTTATCTGCATACGGCCCAGAATCCCATAATCCCACTGCTGTAATCCCACACCATCCCATCCCTGGCCCCATAACCCCATAATCCCACCTAATCCCATCTCCCCGCCCCCTAAACACCCTTATAACCCCCATAATCCCACCCCCTTAAGACCCCCATAATCCCACCCCCCATCCCCTGAACACCCCCATAGCCCCTATAATCCCACCCCCATCCCCTTAAGATACCCATAATGCCATCCCCCACCCCCTAAATAACCCCATAACCCCCATAATCCCACCCTCGTCCCCTTGTGTCCCCCATAATCCCACCCCCCACCCCCTAAATGCCCCCATAACCCCCATAATCCCACTCCCAACCCCTTTAATACCCCCCTAATCCCACCCCCACCCCCTTAAGACCCCCATAATTCCACCCCCCACCCCTAAGCACCCACATAACCCCCATAATCCCACCCCCCCATTCCCTTAACACCCCCATAATTCAGCCACCCCCCCAAACGCCCCCATAAACCCCATGATCCTACCCCAGCCCCTTTAATACTGCCATAATCCCACCCCCCATCCCCTGTAACCCCCATCATCCCACCCTCCACCCCCTAAACACTGCTATAATTCCACCCCCATCCCCTTAAGACTCCCATAATCACACCCCCCACCCCCTAAAGGCCCCCATAATTCCCCCCATCCCCTTAAGACCCCCAGAATTCCACCCCCTAAACACCACCATCACCCCCATAATTCCACCTCCCACCCCCTAAAAAAAACCATAACCCCCATAATCCCACCCCCAACCCTCAAGACCCCCATAATCCCATCCCCCAACCCCTTAACACCCCCATAATTCAGCTCCCCACCCCCTAAACGCCCCCATAACCCCCATAATGCCACTCCCAACCCCTTTAAGACCCCCATAATTCCATCCCCATCCCCTTAAGACACCATAATCCCACCCCCATCCCCTCAAGACCCCCGTAATTCCACTCCCCATCCCCTAAACGCCCCCATAACCCCCATAATCCCACCCTCCACCCCCTATACACCCCCCTAATCCCATCCCCCATCCCCTTAAGACCCCCCCCACCCCCTAAACGCCCCCATAACCCCTTCCCCTGCCCCCCAACCACCCCCCACCGCCCCCCATCCCCTCACCCGGGGGTCTCTGGGCAGCCACCACGTAGCTGACCAGGGTGACGTCGCTGGTGCCCCCAGATTCCAATGGGATGGGATGGACCCGAAAATGCTCCAGCATGTCGAAGATGCTCTGGAACCAGAGGTGCTGAACCCGGCACTGCGCCTCCTCGTTCAGCGACAGCCGCAGGTGCTGCGGGATTAGCAGGGATTACGGGGTCGCCAGGCTGGGATTATGGGGTGGGGAGGCTGGGATTACAGGGTGGGGGGGATTCATGTGACTGGGATGGAAGATAAGGGTGAAGGAAATGGGGATAAGGGGTGGGGAGGCTGGGATTATAGGGAAGGGGGGATTAAAGGGATTGGGATGGGAGATAAGGGTGTGGGAACTGGGGTTATGGGGTGGGGAGGCTGGGATTATGGGGCGAGGGGGATTAGGAGTAGGATTATGGGGATTAGGACTGGGACTATGAATACTAGGAGCGGGATTATGGGGATTAGGAGCAGAATTATGGGGATAAGAAGGATTCTGTGGATTAGGAACAGGATTACAGAATAAGGAGTGGGATTACCGGGGTTAAGAGTGGATTTACATGGATTATGAGAGGGATTACGGGCATTTGGAGCCAGATTTACATTGATTGTGAGTGGATTACAAGGATTAGGAGCGAGATTACAGGGATTAGGAGCAAGATTATGGGGATTAGCAGTGGGATTACAGGGATTATGAGCAGAATTTGGGGATTAGGAGCGGGATTATGTGGATTAGGAGCGTGATTATAGGCATTGGGAGTGGGATCATGGGGATTAAGAGTGGGATTACAGGGTTTAGGAGCGGATTTTGGGGATTAGGAGTGGGATTATGTGGATTAGGAGCGGGATTACAGAGATTAAGAGCTGGATTAGGGGGTCGGACCTTGGCCTTGCCCTGGAAGTTGAAGGTGAGCACGAATTCCCCGCGCCGCGTCTCGCTCTGCCGCACCAGGAAAACGCCATGCGCCCCGGCGCCGCCTGCCAGCACCAACTGCGCCGCGCGCAGCCGTGACAGCGTGCCGTGGAACCAGGGGTGCTCCAGCAGCCCCACTGCGGGACACCGACCCACAACAAGCACACGTCAGCCCCACGGCAAGCACAGAGCACACAGGGACCCCATAGGGACACACAGGGACCCATAGGAAACCCATAGGAAACCCATAGGGACACACAGGGACCCCAAAACCCCATAGGAACCCATAGGGACACATAGAGACCCATAGGGACACATAGGGACCCATAGGGACACATAGGGACACATAGAGACCCATAGGGACACACAGAGACCCATAGGGACCCATAGGGACACATAGGGACACATAGGGACCCATAGGGACACATAGGGACACAGAGGGACCCATAGGGACACATAGGGACCCATAGGGACCCATAGGGACACATAGGGACCCATAGGAACACATAGGGACACAGAGGGACCCATAGGAACCCCATAGGGACTCATAGGGACACACTGGAACCCCATAGGGACTCACAGGGACACACGGGGACCCCAAAACCCCATAGGAACCCCATAATGACCCACAGGAACCCATAGGGACACATAGGGACCCAATAGGAACCCATAGGAAACCCATAGGGACACATAGGGACACATAGGGACACATAGGGACCCATAGGAACTCCATAGGAAACCCATAGGGACACACAGGGACCCAAAACCCCATAGGAACCCCATAGGGACCCATAGGAACCCCACAGGGACACATAGGGACACATAGGAACACACAGGGACCCGTAGGAACCCATAGGAACCCATAGGGACACATAGGGACAAATAGGGACACATAGAAACACACAGAGACCCATAGGAACCCCATAAGGACACACAGGGACCCATAGGAAACCCATAGGGACACATAGGGACACACAGGGACACACAGGGACCCCAAAACCCCATAGGAACCCTATAGGGACCCATAGGAAACCCATAGGGACAAATAGGGACACACAGGGACACACAGGGACCCCAAAACCCCATAGGAACCCTATAGGGACCCATAGGAAACCCATAGGGACACACAGGGTCCCATAGGAAACCCATAGGGACAAATAGGGACACACAGGGACTCCAAAACCCCATAGGAACCCTATAGGGACCCATAGGAAACCCATAGGGACACAGGGATCTATAGAAACCCATAGGGACACATAGGGACCCATAGGGACACATTGGAACCCCATAGAGACTCATAGGGACACACAGGGATATCGAACCCCATAGGAACCCCATAGGAACCTATGGGGACTCTTAGGGACCCCAAATCCCATAGGAACCCCATAGGGACACACATGACCCCAAACCCCATAGCAACCCCATAGGGACTCATAGTGACACACAAGGATCCCAAATCCCATAGGACCCCCATAGGAACCCCATAGGGACACACAGAGACCCATAGGGACTCATAGGGACACATAGGGACACACAGGGACCCCAAACCCCATAGGAATCCCATAGGAACCCATATGGACACATAGGGACACACAGGGACCCCAAATCCCATAGGAACCCCATAGGAGCCCCATAGGAACCCCATAGGGACACACAGGGACTCACAGGGACACATAGGGACCCCAAATCCCATAGGAACCCCATAGGAACCCCATAGGAAACCCCATAGGGACACACAGGGACTCACAGGGACACATAGGGACCCCAAACCCCATAGGAACCCCATAGGGATACATAGGAACCCATAGGGACTCATAGAGACACAGAGGGACCCCGTGGGATTTCTATGGGGTTCTTATGGGGTCCCCATGGGATTCCTATGGAGTTCTCATGGGGTTTCTATGGGGTTCCTATGGGGTCCCTATGGGGTTTCTATGGGGTCCCTATGGGGTTCTTATGGGGTCCCTATGGGATTCCTATGGAGCCCCTATGGGGTTCTTATGGGGTCCCTATGAGGTCCCCATGGGATTTCTACGGGGTTCCTATAGGGTCCCTATGGGATTGCTATGGAGTTCTTATGGGGTTTCTATGGGGTTCCTATGGGGTCCCTATGGGATTCCTATGGAGTCCCTATGGGGTTCTTATGGGGTCCCTATGAGGTCCCCATGGGATTTCTATGGGGTCCCTATGGGGTCCCTATGGGATTCCTATGGGGTTTCTATGGGGTCCCTATGGGGTTCCTATGGGGTTTCTCCCAAGACCCCAAAAGTGCCCAAAAAGGCAGAAACGGCCCCAAAATGCGCCCCCCCCAGCCCCCCCCCCCCCCTTACCTGCACCATCGGGATCCCCGTCCTCTATGGGGGCTCGGGGAGGCAGCTCGGGGGGGGGCAGCTCAGCCAGCCCCCCATAAGCACCTGGGGGGGGGGAGAGGGGGCATTTTGGGTTGAATTCTTGGAGTTTTGGGTCCAAATACCCCACAGAAATGGGGATTTTTGAAGGGGGGGGTGGATTTTTGGGGTGAAAAGAGGCGCTTTTGGGGTCTCTCACCGTGGGCTGATGGCTCCGTGATGTCCGGAGGGGGGGGAGGGGGGGGAGGATCGTCGCTGCTGAACCGAAAATGCAGGATTTAGACCCAAAATTGGGGGGGGGGGGCGGGGGAAAGGGGGGGAAATGAGGGGGAAATGGAGATTTAAGGGGAAATAATGGGGGTTTTGGGGGGGAAATGGGAGTTTGGGGTGGGGATAATTGGGATTTAGGAAAAAAAAATGGGGATTTTGGGGTGAGGAAATGGGGTTTTGAGGGAAAAATGGGGATTTAGGGGAAATAATGGGGTTTTGGGGGGGTAATGGGGATTTAAAGGGAAATAATGGGGATTTTGGGGGAAAGAATGGGGGTTTGGGGGGAAATAATGGGGGTTTAGGGGAAATAATGGGGATTTTGGGGGAGGAAATGGGGATTTAGGGGAAATAATGGGGGTTTGGGAGGGGAAATGAAGGTTTAGGGGAAATAATGGGGTTTAGGAAGAAAAATGGGGATTTAATGGAAAATAATGGGGATTTGGGAGGGGAAATGGGGATTTAGGGGAAATAATAGGGATTTTGGGGGGAAATAATGGGGATTTAAGGGAAATAATGGGGGTATGGGGGGGGAATGAAGGTTTAGGGGAAATAATGGGGATTTTGGGGGAAAAGTGGGGATTTTGGGGGGAAAAATGGGGATTTTGGAGGGAGAAATGGGGATTTAGGGGAAATAATGGGGGTTTGGGGGGGGGAAATGGGGATTTTGGGGGGATAACAGGGTCTTGGGGGGGAATAATGGGGATTTAGGGGAAATAATGGGGATTTTGGAGGAAAAATGGGGATTTAGGGGAAATAATGGGAGTTTAGGGGGAAAAATGGGGATTTAATGGGAAATAATAGGGATTTTGGGAGGGGAAATGGGGATTTAGGGGGAATAATGGGGTTTTGGGGAGAAAAAAGGGGATTTTGGGTCTCACCCGGCCCCGATGGAGCCCTGGATGTCCCCGAGCCACGCGGCTGCCGTCACCGCATCTGGAGCTTCCAGGACCACTTCCAGGGAATTCTGCAGCTGCCAGGACCCAAAAACCCCCCATTTTCACCCAAAAATGACCCCAAATGACCAAATTCGGGTTTCAGGCCTCAAAACCACCTCAAAATCACCCCAAAAATGCCACCGAACCGGAACAAAATGGCCCCAAAATTGCACAAAATGCCCAAATCCCCCCCCAAAATGACTAAAATCCCTCCCAGACTGCCCAAATCCCCCCAAAATGCCCTGAATTGCCCCCTAAATGCTCCCAAATCCCCTCCAAATTGCCCCAAACCCCTCCAAAATGCCCCAAATTCCCCCAAAATGCCCCAAATCGGCCCCAAATTCCCCCTAAATTGGACCCAATCGACCCCAATCCCCCAGAATGCCCCAAATTGACCCCAAATCCCCCCAAATTGCCCCCAATTGGACCCAAATTGCCCCAAATCCCCCCAAGTCCCCCAAATCGACCCAAATCCCCCCTGAATTGGACCCCAAATTCCCCCAAATCCCCCCAAAATTGGAGCCAAAATCCCCCAAATCCCCCTTAAAAAGCCCCCAATCCCCCCCAAATCCCCCCCTAAGTTGGACCCCAAATCCCCCCCCATATCCCCCCCCAAAATGCCCCAAATTGACCCCAAATCCCCCCTGAATTGGACCCAAAATGCCCCAAATCCCCCTCAAAATCCCCCCAATCCCCCTCAAATTGCCCCAAATCGACCCCAAATCCCCCCTAAGTTGGACCCAGAATCCCCCAAATCCCCCCAAAATGCCCCCCAAATCCCCCAAATCCCCCCCAAATCCCCCCTAAATTGGACTCCAAATCCCCAAATGCCCCCCAAAATCCCACCAAAATTGGACCCCAGATCTCCCAAATCCCCCCAAAATGACACAAATCCCCTCCAAATCCCCCCCAGATTGGACCCAAATCCCCCCTAAATTGGACTCAATCGACCCCAAATCCCCCAAAATGCCCCAAATTGACCCCCAAATTCCCCCAAATTGCCCCCAATTGACCCCAAAATGCCCCAAATCCCCCCAAATTGCCCAAAATCGTCCCCAAATCCCCCCTAAATTGTCCCCAATTGGACCCAAATTGCCCCAAATCGACCCCAAATCCCCCCTAAATTGGACCCAAAATGCTCCAAATCCCCCCAAAATGCCCCAAATCGACCCCATATTCACCCTAAATTGGACCCCAAATCCCCGAAATCCTCCCATATTCCCCCTAAATTGGACCCAAAACGTCCCCAATCCCCCCCCCAATCGCCCCAAATTGCCCCCAGTTGACCCCAAAATGCCCCAAATCCCCCAAAATGCCCCAAATCGACCCCAAATTCCCCAAATTGCCCCCAATTAGACCTAAAATGCCCCAAATCCCCCCGAAATCCCCCAAATCGACCCAAATCCCCCTGAATTGGACCCAAAATGCCCCAAATCCCCCTCAAAATGCCCCCAATCCCCCTCAAATTGCCCCAAATTGACCCCCAAACCCCCCCTAAGTTGGACCCAGAATCCCCCAAATTCCCCCTATATGCCCCCAAAATCCCCCAATCCCCCCCCCCATATCCCCCCTAAATTGGACCCCAAATCCCCCCAAAATGCCCCAAATCGACCCCAAAATCCCCCCTAAATTGGACCCCAAATCCCCCAAATCCCCTCAAAATCCCCCAAAATCCCCCAAAATGCCCCAAATCCCCCCTAAATTGGACCCCAAATCCCCCAAATCTCCCTTAAAAAGCCCCCAATCCCCCCTCCAAATCCCCCCTCCAAATCCCCAAATCGACCCCAAATCTCCTTCTTCCCCTCCTCCCCCGGTCCCCCCATCCCCCCCCTCCCCCCCCCCCCCCCAATTTAATTTCCCCCCTGCCCCAAAATCTCGGTTTTTCAACCCCAAACGAACCCGGAGCAGAACGGAGCGGCCCCGGCCCGGGCCGGCGGGGCTCAAAGCGGCCGAAAGGGAGCAGCAAGGAACCGAGAGCTGGGGGGTGGGGAGCCTGGGGGGGGAGGAGAGAAAGATTGGGGGGGGGGAAGGGGGGGAATGGGGAATCGGGGGGAAATGCGGAGATGGGGGGGGAAATGGGGGTGTAATGGGGGGAGAATGGAGGGGAAATGGGGAGATGGGGGGGGGAAATGGGGGGAAATGGGGGGGGAATGGGGGGAAATGGGGAGATGGGGGGGGAAATGGGGGGGAATGGGGGGAAATGGGGAGGAAATGGGGCAGAAATTCGGGGGGAAATGGGGGGGGAAATGGGGAGGAAATGGGGGCAGAAATTCGGGGGGAAATGGGGGGGAATGGGACGGAAATTAGGGCTGAAAATAGGGCTGAAAATGGGATGGAAATGGGGTTGAAAATGGGATGGAAATAAAGCTGAAAATAGGGCTGAAAGTGGGATGGAAATGGGGTTGGAAATGGAAATGGGGCTGAAAATAGGGCTGAAAATTGGACTGAAAATGGGATGGAAATGGGGTTGAAAATCGGGCTGAGAACAAGGCTGAAAATAGGGCTGAAAATAGGGCTGAAATTTGGACTAAAAATGGGGCTGAAAAATAAGGCTGAAAATGGGATGGAAATAAGATGGAAATGTGGTTGAAAATAGAGCTGAAAATAGGGCTGAAAATGGGATGGAAATGGGGCTGAAAATAGAGCTGAAAATGGGATGGAAATGGGGCTGAAAATGAGATGGAAATGGGGTTGAAAATGGAAACGGGGCTGAAAATGGGGCTGAAAATGGAAATGGGATGAAAATGGGGCTGAAAATGGGATGGAAATAGGGTTGAAAATGGAAATGGGGCTGAAAATGGGACAGAAAGGGGCCGATAAGTGGGGCAGCTGCCCTCCCACCCCCCATTTCTCACCTTGGGGGGCACGTTAGAGCTCCAGCACGTCGCCGTGGGCCTCGCGCCGCAGCATCACCCGGCACCTCCTCCCCCTGCCCCCCCCCGGGACCCCCGGTTTCGGGCAGCACCAAACCGGGCAGCCCCCCCCTCCTTGGGCTCCGTGCTTTGCCGATCCGTAACCGATCCCATCGGATCCCAGGATTCCCTTCTTGGTTTCCCGATCCTTGGGTCGAAGGATTCCTTGGATCCGGTGGATTTTCGGGGTTGGTTTTCCATTGTAAAATCCCGCGGACGCTTCGGCCCACGCTGCGTAAGGAGAAACGTTTGCGGCTTTTGGGTTTGGGGTCGACGGCTTTGGGGTCGTCCGGGTTGAGTTTGGGGACGAAGGCTTCGGTTTTGGGGTCGGAGGAAGGGGGGGATGGGGTGGGGGGGGGGGGTTGGGGGGCTCGGACCCCCCCCGAGGGCGGTGGGCGCCGGTGAAAGGAGCCACGGAGCAGAAGGAGGAGAAGGCGGAGGTCGAGTCGAAGCATTCGGGGCTGTGGGGCAGATTGGGGCAGATTGGGGGCGGGTCGGGGCAAATTTGGGGGGCCGGGGGGTGTTTGGGGGGTTCGGAAGCAAAGCGGGGCTTTTCGGCCCCAAATTGGGCGTTTTTGGACCCAAATTGGGCATTTTTGGACCCCAAACCGACATCTTCAGATCCAGGTCGCTCATTTTCAGCCCCAAATTGGGCATTTTTGGACCCAAATCGGGCGTTTTCAGTCCCAAATGGGGCGTTTTCAGACCCAAAACTGACATCTTCAGATCCAGGTCGCTCATTTTCGGCCCCAAATCGGGTGTTTTCGGCCCCAAATTGGGCATTTTTGGACCCAAATCGGGCGTCTTCATACCCAAAATGGGCATTTTCAGATCCAGGTCGCTCATTTTCAGCCCCAAACTGGGCATTTTCAGCCCCAAATTCGGCATTTTCAGCCCCAAGCCGGATGCTCCCAGCACTGAAGTGAAGCATTTCTGAACGGAATTTGGCATTTTTCGGCCCCAAATCCGAGTTCAGCGCCAAACTGCCCATTTTCACCATCGATTTTGGTATTTTCAGTTCCAAATTTGGCATTTTCAGCCCCAAATCGGCCGCTTTCGGTACCAAACTTGACATTTTCAGCACCAAAACAGAGCTTTTCCGTACCGATCCTGGTATTTTCAGTCCCAATTTTGATGTTTTCAGCTCCAATTTTGATATTTTCAGTCCCAATACTGGTATTTTCAGTCCCAATTCTGGTATTTTCAGCCCCAATTCTGGTATTTTCAGTCCTGATTCTGGTATTTTCAGCCCCAATTCTGGTGTTTTCAGTCCCTATTTTGGTGTTTCCAGTCCCAATTCTGCTGTTCTCGGTCCCATTTCTGGTATTTTCAGCCCCAATTTTGATATTTTCAGCCCCAATTCTGGTATCTTCAGCCCCCAATTCTGCTATTTTCAGTCCCAATTTCCATATCTTCAGTCCCATTTCTGGTATTTTCAGTGCCCAACCGCAGATTTTCAGCTCCCCCTTTCAACGCCTCGGTGCCAAATCTGACGTTTTCCGCCCCCAATTCGGAGGCCTTCGCTCTCAAATCCCTTTTCACTCCTCATTCTGATATTTTCAGTCACAATCCTGCCATTTTCAGACCCAAATCTGCAATTTTCAGTTTCAATCCTGCCATTTTCAGACCCAAATCTGCTATTTTCACTCCCAAATTCGCCGTTTTCAGACCCAAATCCCAATCTTCCAGCGCCGAATCCGCTTCTCGCAGCCCCAATTTTGGCATTTTCAGCCCCAAATCCGCCGCTTTCCGCCCCGATTTGGCCGCTCTCCATCCCCATTTTCCCACATCCTGTGCAAAAATCACCATTTTCAGCCCCAATTTTCGCATATTCCACACCGTTCCTGGCCTCTTCAGCCCCAAAATCAGCATTTTTGGTACCGTTTCTGCTGTTTTCAGCCCCAAAATTGGCATTTTCAGCCCCAAAATCACCATTTTCAGCCTCAAAATCCGCATTTTCGGTACCGTTTCTGCCATTTTCAGTCCCCAAATCAGTATTTCCAGCCCCAAAATCAGAATTTTTTGTACCATTTCTGCTATTTTCAGTTCCAAAATTGGTATTTTCAGTTCCAAAATCAGCCTTTTTGATACCGTTTCTGCTATTTTCACTCTCAAAATCAGCATTTTCAGTCCCAAAATCCGCATTTTTTGTACCGTTCCTGCAATTTTCACTCCCAAAATCAGTATTTTCAGCCTCAAAATCAGCATTTTCGGTACCGTTTCTGCTATTTTGGGGTC